GGGCCTCCATTTCTCAGTTTCTTTTCGGCATGACCAAATCTCAAACCAGTTGGCAGGAGACCAACTTTTATAACAGTTCTCTGTTATTTTTTCCATTTGGGCAGTTTTATGAGTTCTTAGGCTTTAGTACCATTGATTCAGTTTGAATTGCTGTTGATGGTTTCTAAGGCTTGTCTAAGCTTATAAATAGGTCTTTCTAAGGCTTTTCAGGCATATAATACGCCTGTCATCCTTCTTTGTCCTCTTTGCACAAAGAGTTACAAGCAAGCAAATAAGTTGTTGATTTTCTTTTCACTCTTCTGTCTTTGCATGTTGGTGGTTAACATTGTCATGTCACACAAATTCTTACTTCAATTTCTAAACACATCAAATTTAGTTTTGTTTTTAAGGTGGCAGTTTGAAAGCTTATAAAAGATTTTTGATGCCTTGCATTACAGCTCCTCCTATTTTTCACACCCGATTAATCCATACTCATGCAAACGTGTGACAAAATTACATGTTCTAGTGATCTATTATCTTCTCTCTCTTTACCTATCAAATTTCTCTCCTCTTACTTGATCTATGAAGTTCATCATCCATTCCAAAGAATAAACTCATCCATGTAATTATGGATCAGTCTTCTTGACGTCATCAATGGCAATCACCAAAAATAAGGTGAAACTCCTAGTCCATGTAAAAAAGCCACAAAATTCTGTTTGCTAAAGGGAGCATAGACCTGTCACTGTCTTTGGCCTCTAAACTAGTGAAGTCTGAAGATACAATACAACTAATATGAAAAAGCAAATACAAAACAAAACGAATTGTAAATCTGGCTGTTGGTTTAGTTAATGAATGCCAACCAGTGGAAATAAATACATATTTATTCACTCATCCGTAGATTATATTACCTATGTATAGGTAATGACAGATTTGTATATGTAGAGTTGCTTTGTGGTCAACTGATGATGCAGAGTCTCCAAGGTGACCCTCCACCTTCTTAATCCATTCACCTTTGCCATTTTTGAATAATTTTGAATTTAGGATACTTCTTTTATGAAGTTTGGTCTTTCAAGGCTTAAGCACATGCTCTTTCTTCTCTGTCCTCAATGGCTACCACCAACAGCGCTAGTGTGAGTTTGAACCTTCTGATTGACAAAAAAAAAAAAAAAAGCC